ATTTAAATTATGTTTTTTTTTTCTGGATTATCAATTTAAATGTTTTTCAAATATTTAATAATATGTAATAGCTTTAAATAAATAAAATTAATATAACAAATTTTTAAATATTTTATAGATTATTTAAATATTTAAATAACTAAATATTTATCATAACTAGATTTTAAATAGTTAAAATAACGAAATTATGTAATAAATTTAAAAAATTTCTTCAAAGAAGAAAAATAACTATAACATAATATTGAAATTAATAATGATTTAATCTATTATAAAATGAATAATGAAATTATGTAATAATAGTATAAATTATGATTTTATGGATAACTAAATTCAATAAATAATTAACATTTTTAAATTTAAATATTTTACATATTACTTAAGTATTTAAATAACTATATTTTAAATAGTTAAAATATAGAAGCTATATAATAAATTTAAAAATTCTAAAAAGTAGAAAAATAATTATAACATATTATTGAAATTAATAATAATTTGATATTATACATAATATTGTAAATAACAAATTTCACTTATATCAAGTAATAATTTGAGAAAATAACTTTCAAAAAAATTAATATTTATTAATAATAATTCTCCACTCTTAATATGTATTTATTATATAATTATATATACTAAAATTAATATTTATTGTATTTCAATAATTATTTATTGTTTTTTTGATAAATGTATTTTTAGTGATTATGTATAAATTTATTTTGTTTTGTTATTTAATAGAAAACTTTCAATAATTAATGGAGATTAAACTACTATTATTGAAATTTTTAAATTTAATTTATTATACTTATTGTATTTATTGTATTTTTGTTACAACTTATTAATTAATATTTATAGGAGATTAAACTATTATTTGAGATTATACTACTTATTGATTAAGTTAATATATTTTTAGTACTTATTGTTTTTTCATTATCAATATATTTTCAATAACTGTGCATTTTTGCTATAAATTTTCAATAATTATTGGAGATCAAACTATTGTTATTTATTAGAGATGAGACTATAAATTTAGTTGAAATTATAAGTGTTCATGAGTTGGTTCGGTTAGGGCATAGGCTATTTGGCCAACCAAATTGACCTGGTCAAGTTGGGGAGTTGGTCAAATAAAACTGATTGACCTTTTGTGAAAATGGACCCACTCAAATTGTATCAGTTTGGGTCGATTTTTTGGTTTGATCAGTTGATTCAAAAGATTCAAACTTTAAAAATTATAGTGCAATTATTAAAAAATTAGATTTATGATATAAAACATTTTAGACTAAGAAATATGAGAAATTTTCCATGTTTCCATATTAAAAATATAAAATATTAATATATGTCCATGGTTAGGTTGTTCAATTTTGGTCGGTTTACAAATGGCCAAAGTGAAATTGATCTAACTTGGTCGAATTGGAAAATTTTTGAACTAAAACCGACCTAAAATACTAGAAAACTGACCAACTCGGGTCAAGTTGATTGGGTTGGTCAGTTTCATCAGTTTGATGAATAAACCTAACTGAAATTAATTATTTTTATTTTTATATTATAAAAAATTTATTAAAAAGTAGTATATAAACTATGAGTAATTATTAATTATTTAAAAAATTGAAAATATAAAGCAATTGTGTAGAGTTCACATCTGTGCCCCACAATGTCCCATAGCATATCCCCGTCGTTTATTGGGAACATCTCTTGATGATGACATCATCGGTTCTGGTACTATCATTGGGAGATGTTCCCAATACACGGGGAGATGTGTTGTGGAACGTTGTGGGGCGCCCACTTGTGGGGCACAGATGTGAACTCTACTCTTATGTGTTTCTATTAGGGTCATTTACTATAACACACGTTATAGTTTTACATATTTACTTAAACCTACCTTATAGTTTTCATTTTACTAAAACATCCTGTATATTTTACAACTTATTTACTTAATCAACATTTCATTAAGGAGTGATTATTTTTCCATTAGGCCCATGATTTTTTATTCAAAAAATACCCTTAATTTTTTTTTGTATATAAAAGAAAATTGACCAAATATAGCCAATAGAGTGGTTGCCCGCAAGGTTCAAAGTATCGATACGCATCAGCTGATGCGTATCGTGTCGATGGCTTCCCGATACACCCCCTGTAAGGGCATATCAACATTTCATTAAGGAGTGATTGTTTTGCCATTAGGCCCATGATTTTTTATTCAAAAAATACCCTTAACACTTTTTGTATATAAAAGAAAATTGACCAAATATATAGTCAATAGAGTGGTTGCCCGCAAGGTTCAAAGTATCGATACGTATCAACTAATGCGTATCATGTTGATGGCTTCCTGATACGCCCCCATAGGGGGTGTATCGGGGTTCTAACGGGTTCAGGGGGTGGAGGAGCCTTAAACCGGCCCCCTGAACCGGTTTTGAAAAAAGGCAAAAAAGCACTATCGATATCACCCGATACACTCCTATTGACGTATCAGGCGTATCGATATTTTGAACCTTGGTTGCCCATGTCCTATTAAGGGAACAAATGCATGGTAATTTAATTTTTATTTTCTTTTGATTAAATTTATTTAAATGAGCATTAGGGTCAGCACTATCATTTTCCACCGTAATCTAATGGAAGATTGATTAAATTCATTGCAAAGTATAAGTGTTGTTTTAGTAAAATACTAACTATAGGGTAGATTTTAATAAATCCATGAAACTATAAGGGTATTAGATCAAATGACCATTTTTATTATTTAGCTTTCACTTAATAAATCTCGTGTATCACATGGGTCCCCGCTAATAACTATAAGAAATTAAGAAGCTCTAACAATTTCAGCATGTGTAGTTGGGATGTTTTTCGTCATGAGTTGCATTCTATTGGAAATTATCTTTCTTAGTCATTTCCCAATACTCTCTTGGAGCAAAGTGTGGTAGGGGTCTTCCCTCCTCTTTTTTATCCAAGTGGGTTTCCTACAAGCAACCTCCTTTTTGGAATTTCTAGAGGAAAGCAAAGTGATTGGAAAATCTCTTCTCAATCCTTTTTTTTTTTATTCCCTTCTAGGCTTCCTACTGGTAGGTGTCTATAGATAACTGATTCCCAATCTTCATGCTTCATTAGAGAGCTTCCATCATGCAATGATTCAAATAAAGATAGGCATGAGGCATCATTAATGTTAATCTAAGCACATTAGACAAAACTATGACTAGGGGTTGGTAAAGGAAAGATAGTCTCATAGCCCCAACGTTTTTGAATCGCCGTTGATCTGGATGGTCGGACTGTTCAGCCTAGGAATTGTCTAGGCAATCAGTTCCGTTTTACCCAAAACCTAGAATCTGGTAAAAAATCGTTGAAAAAATCAACAAATTATTGACTCGGATGGTTGAACCATCGAACGGATGGTAATCAGTTCCGTTTTTATTTTTTAATTATTTTTAATTTTTTAATTTTACTGTCAGAATGGGCCATCTGTTTAAACCG